TCTGTATCCTTATATACTGCTGAGGTGGCCCCCATATGACAGCCAATGTGACGTAGCAGTCAGGACTTCAGAGCACGGGAGAGGCTGCAGGTGTGTGTGGGGTGGAAAGCTGAAGAGTGAGGGTGAAATAAAGGTAGGTTGATGATTGGCTGGGAAGGAGATAGGGTTGCCAACTCCAGGTGGGAAATTCCTGGAGAGGTGAGGGATGGAGCCTGGAGAGGGTGAAGTTTCAGGAGGCGTGGGACCTCGGACAGGTACAAAGCCATAGATTCTACCCTTCAAACCAACTATTCCCTTCTGGGGAACTAGCGTTACCAATCTCCAGGTGAGGTATGGAGATCACTCAAAATTACAACTGTTCTTTAGGTAGCAGAGATCAGATCTTCTGGAGAAAATGGTGGACTCAGTGCCATTATACCCTGCTGAGGTCGCCACAGCAAATTGACACTGAGTGTCCCAGGCTGGGACACCCGCCCAGAGCCTAGAGGCTGTTGTATTTATTTCCATAATGGGCCTTTTTCCTAGTTTATTTATAATTTTATTTATTTATACATTTGGCTTATAGACTGCCCTCCCCCATGAAACACAGCTCAGGGTGATGTACAACAATTGTACAAGGACATTCAAAGAAAATTAAAAACATTTAGAACAGTACTCCATATAACAGTATCAGATGGCCCTAAACTAAATAAATGTTATCAGGAATGCACAGGGGGTGGGAGCGAGAAAGGGGGGGGAGGCATGGTAGAAAATCACTGCTGTCCTCAAGCATAGGCCTGGTGGAACATATCTGCCTTACAGGTCCTGCAGAACTGTATTATGTTCTGCAGGGCACAGAGGCCATTAGACAGAGAATTCCACCAGGTTGGGGCCAGGGTACCAGGAGAGCTGCTCCCAAAGATATGAGATAGGTGGGAATGAGAGGGTTTTTAAAGAACTGTGACTGGCCCAAGATCACCCAGCAGGCTTCATGTGGAAGAGTGGGGAATCAAACACAGTTTCCCAATTAGTGCTCTTAACCACTACACCATGTTGGTTTTTACTTCTTTCCAAGAATGGGAGCAGGCATTTCTGGGCTGAGTCATTGGCTACAGTCATACCCACTAAACAATCCACTTTCATTCTACTTTCAGTGCACTTTCCAACTGAATTTTTATTGCGTGAACTGGCAAAATCCAGTTGGAAAGTGCACTGAAAGCACATTGAAAGTGGACTATTTTAGTGTGTGTGACTGCAGCCTCAGAGAGATTTACTTCTTTGCAAGAATGGGAACAGACATTTCTGGGCTGAGTTATTGGCTGCAGTCATACCCATTAAACAATCCACTTTCATTCCACTTTCAGTGCACTTTCCAACTGGATTTTTACTGCGTGAACTGGCAAAATCCAGTTGGAAAGTGCATTGAAAGCACATTGAAAGTGGATTTTTTTAGTGTGTGTGACTGCAGCCTCAGAGAGATCTCAAAGGCAGTAAGTTGCTTCCATTTTTTCCCAAGCCCCTTCAAGAGATAAAGAGTTTTCATCCATTATCTTCTCCATTATCTTGAGAAGGGAGTGGGATCCCCCTCAGTTGTTCCCAAACTTTCCCACAAATCTAAATTTACTATGTGTAGTGAGCTGCTTAAAACAAATGAGCAAAAAACAAAGCAAAAAACCTCCAGAAAGATCATGTGCAAAACAATAGAAATGCAAAGCCTTGTAATCCACTTTAATGGGACTTTCAACTCACCTTTGGGTCAGAATCCACAGATTGGGAAATAGTGGCCTAGGTACATGTTTGTTTCTTACCCTTTCTGCAAGGAGCTCAAGGTGATAGCAACCCTGACAGACAGCAAAAGAATGGCATAATTAAAAAAGCAGATTATTTTAAGAGTTTATATTGTGATTACCTGCATATCATCTAATAATCAGGGATTATCCCAAACATTAAATATGTATAGCTTGAAGCAAAGGAGGAAATATGATTTCCCCCTTATCCATCTTAAATGGTCCTGACTGTCAGCTAGCTGCCATTTTATGTTGCTTCTGTCCTTCCCCGTTCCCGCTTGCTCGCAGCTCAGCAGCTTGCAGTAAACATTGCCTCGGAGACCCTGGGAGCTGGCTTGGCTAGGCGGCGTTATCAGTCTGGCCTTGTGAGGAAGGGAGGACTTGCTGTCCACCATTGGTGTGAATCTTTCTGCTCTCAGGGGCCCTGTGAGTCTCCCGCTCATTATGTAACTTCCCGCCGGGAGAATTCCCGTGCGCGCGCTCGAAGTTCATTTGCTTAGCTATTCGCCTCGTCCGGCTATATGTACGGATGTTCCCACCCTATAGTTATTCCTAACAATAATCCTGTGGATATGGTACCGGTTTTGTACTCTAATAAAGCATAAATAAGCAATAGAATCACCAGAAGAGGCATTCCTTCATGGGTATGAGAAGGAGAAATGCTTCTCCTATGATGGATCTGGCCATCTGCAGTTTTTATAATTACCTGTATTTTTTAAAAGTGGGCTGCGCCCAAAGTACCCTGAGAGGAGCTCCCTCCCCTTCCCCTCTCCCTGCAGGCCACAGTGCACCCAAAAATTCTCTGTGAGATTGACGGCATAGTATCTGTTCACTCAGCCAATTCAACTTTGTAATCTGTTTGCAGCAGAAGTTCCCAGAGGAGATCACACAGAAGCATAAACCACGTCAATTGTACCTGGTAAACAGACAAGACTCAGGAACAAGACCGTTCCCTTCTGTGTGAATGTGACTAAGAAATCACCAGTGCAGCTGATGACTCAATAACAGAGGGGGCTGACTGTGTGTGAACATTGGAGGCTCCAGTAAGTACAAAGCTATCTCATTTGAAAACTTTGGTTAGTATTGTGAAGGAGTAGACTAAATGAATTTCTAGAAGTTACTACTACAATTAAGCTATTTTTAGAGCAGGGTTATTTTGCAGGGTTGTTGCATTAAAATAACAATACTCAAATGTCAAAATTCTACACTTTGGTTAGTATTGTGAAGGAGTAGACTAAATGAATTTCTAGAAGTTACTACTACAATTAAGCTATTTTTAGAGCAGGGTTATTTTGCAGGGTTGTTGCATTAAAATAACAATACTCAAATGTCAAAATTCTACACTTGAAGGCATTGTCAGATTCAGTTTGAGAGTTTTAAGTATTTATTTATTTTATTTATTGGATTTTTTACCCCTCCCTCCCAGCCAAAGCTGGCTCAGGGTGGCTTACATAAAATCAATACATTATTTACAATAAAACATGACTAATTTGAATTAAAACAATTCTAAAATCATTTAACTATACAACTCAATCAAGTGCTAATAAAGTAGGTGCTAATATCTGCCCCAGGTATCAATGGGACTTTACAGCACATTACAAAGTGCTTGATACTATAGTTAACATCCATGTAGTACTTTAGGGGACATGTGAAAATTCTCATGTAGCAGAAGAGAGTCTTTGGCTCTAACCTAGTATTGCATAGTTTAGGTCAGTTGGTAAACCTGTACCAAATTTTGTTTGAAGTTTGTTTGAACTAGAGATACTACCTTTTCAAATGAGAAAAGGAACTATACTACAAGGCAGAAGTAAGCAGTATAGTACAGTCCAAAAAAGCCAGAGAAGGGGTCACAGTGTGCAGATTCATGCCAACAATTAAAAAAACCCACTGTGATAATGACACATTTAATAATTCTATGAGCATCAATTTGTGAAGCTATTAATCTTACAATATAGTTAGAAAATTCTGACATAAGCAAAGCCCAACATAATAATGTCCTCAATGAGCACACTGTTTTTTGCACTCATTTCACCAATCTTTCTCATGAGTAGTCTTATAAAGTTGGAAGGTGTCAACCTCTTGATTCAGCTTAGTTTCTTTTTAAAAACAGTATAGCTTCTTATTTGTTTTCTTCTTTGTCAAATTCTCCTGTAAAAAGCATAGTACTTGAATAGGAGCAAGCCAATTACTAAATTTCTAGTCATAGCAACCAGTCCAAAATTTTTATGTGGCAACAGGCCTACTTTAAATTGGCTGGCATTTGCTCTCCGTCTCACGTTGTTGGCTAGTAGCTCTCTATTAGGGAGTAGCATTTCAGCATTCTACTCTATCTGGCTGAAAGCCTTCTTTTGATAATAGACTGAAAAAGCTCCCCACTTCTCAGGCTGGAAAACAGCTCTTAAGGAACTATCTGATAGATTCCAAGCAGCTGCATGTTGTTATACTTCTCTCTTAAAGGTGTAGAACATTAACACTGAAAAATAAACTCCTATATGATACATACACTTTTGATTTATACATATACTTTTAAATGCAACTTTAAATATGCTTTTAAAAAAACAACATTATAATATTATATATAAATATATAAATATATAATATTCCACGGTGAGAAGTGGGGAGCATTGTCAGTCCATCCCGCACCAACAGAGTGTGAATGCCAAAAGTCATGTTTTTCCTTGTGTGCTGTATATTGGTTGAATATCTCCAGATTACCAAAAAAAGAAAGCCGTACCTTACAGCCATGCCTCTGGGCCAACAGTGTGAATGCTCCCTTGCGCCTCCTCCCAGTATGCTCCCACATCAGTCACTGGAGTGTGAACAGGAAAACCTGGAACAGTTTGTTCCGGCTCTTTTTTGCAACGACTCCCTCCCGCTTCAAACTGCCAGTCTGAACTCAGCCATAGATAGTGAATTCAGGGATAAACTGATAATACTGATTTTCTTTTCAGTGCAAGTCAACCAGTTAGACAATTCAGATTCTGAAATCACTTGATAAATAAGACGATCACTTCTTGGCCTTTTGGCTAAAATCAAGTGTAGTATCACAAAGTAGTCTATTTATCAGTATTAAGCCAATATTTTCACTGAGATTCACTATATTACTCACCTCACATGTCAAAGGGTCCCTTCCCTTTTCATCACCCAGGAAAGATAGTTTGATGTAGCCTTCTACATACCATTATTGTCTCCTCAATCCATGGATTTATAGGTATTTCCTTTACTTTTTACAGGATGTTGGCAAAGAAAGAAAACATTCCACAGAATAGCACGTCAGTGGCTGAATTCATCCTCCTTGGTTTTTCTGATGAGCCCAACTTGCAAGGCATATTGTTTTCTACTTTTCTAGTAGTCTATATCATCATTCTGGCAGGAAATCTCATCATCATTCTCCTCACCTTGGTTGACCCTGCACTACAAACACCCATGTATTTCTTCTTGAGAAACCTGTCCTTCCTGGAGGTCTGTTACACATCCGTCAATGTCCCCAAGATGCTTGAGAATCTTCTGTCTGGGAACAAGACTATCTCCTTCCTAGGATGTGCTGTACAGACCTACTTCACATTCTTTTTTGGTGGCTCTGAGTGTTTCCTCCTGGCCTCAATGGCCTACGATCGCTATGTTGCCATTTGTAAGCCTCTGCACTACCATGTCTTCATGAACAGGAATGTGTGCATGGGTCTAGCTGTGGCATCTTGGTCAAGTGGATTTTTTATGGCCTTTGGTCACACCAGTATGGTGTTTACCATGTCCTTTTGTGGTTCCAATGAGATCAATCACTTCTTTTGTGACATCCCCCCATTACTGAAATTGGCTTGTGGGGACACTTCCACAACTGAAATAGCTGTATTTGTAGTGGCTGTGATATTTATAACTATTCCATTCATCCTGATATTATTGTCATATGCTGGTATCATTGTTATGATTCTGGGAATTTCTTCTTCTGAAGGTAGGAAAAAGACCTTCTCCACTTGCTCTTTACATCTCATTGCAGTTACTTTATTCTATGGTTCTGCTTGTATTATGTACTTGAAGCGAAAATCCACTTACTCACCCAATACTGACAAGTATCTGGCTCTCTTTTACACAATTGTTGGTCCTGTACTGAATCCTATGATATACAGCTTTCGGAATAAAGAAGTCAAAGCTGCCCTTATGAGAATTTGTGAGAGAAAACCTTTTGGATGTTCAAACAACAGGATCATAGGGTGTAATATCCACAATCGGTAAGGCAACATTTGTACCTACTTAATCCAAACAGACAGATTTATTTCACCGAAGGAGATAGATCTAATAATCCTTTCTGGCCTGTGTACTTTTTATTCTGTATTACTCAGAAACATCATATCTACAACAGAGCAAATTGATTAGCAGGCATATGCTAAGTAACAAGACACATTCAAAGAGTGTTTCTTCCAAGCTTCAAGTAGATAGTTCAAGTCTTGTATGTTCAGAATTGGAGTTCTGGGCTGTACTTCTCAGGGAATTTTCTCTGCAGCATTTTTTAATAACACTGTACCAATGTACCACATCATGACCCACTGTTATCTGAATTCCGTTCTGTTCAATTAAAAAAGAGCTAAGTGTACACAGCCATTTCCTCAATTCAAGTGAGTTCCAAGCAGATTTTCTGAAAGTGAAAAGGGCAGATGTAGTCCCACTTACCCATTTGAAAAGGCTACGCTGAATTCTGCATGAACAAAAGTAATGTGTGATGGAGAATACTGAATGAGACAAAGTGGTAAAGGTGGCTGGAACCCACCATTAGATCTCAAAGTATGGCTCTGACCATTCTAAGAAGGTGCATAGAACCATTGGTGGAGGTAGATCTTATGCCGGTATTATTGCCAGTGTTCCTGGGATTTCTTCTGTTGAGGGCCAGAAAAAGACTGTCTTTACCGGGTCTTCACACATGCCTTTAAATTGCTTTGTTTGCTTACATCTAGAATGAACCCCTTGGAAGACAGCACCCACTCTGCTACAGTAAATAGATTACCCTCATATTTTGGTAAAGGATCTTTCTTTCATTCACAGCTCAATGGTTATGAGGTGAATCAGTTTTTTGCTGTCTAGAATTCCTAGAGATGTATAACACCACTTCTAGGTTTTCCTGGAAGCAGTCACACCATGGTCCCTATTTCCTCTGGTCCCCCACTTATTGTCAGGCCTTGCTGAGCAACCTTAGGTCAGCCACAAAAGTCCTATCTGTGTTAGTCTGCTGCAGCCAAACTATTAAAGATGTTCTTGGTAACTTGAAGACTAACAAACAGCCAGAGCATCCTGATTGGAGAGTAGATGGTAACTAGATAGTAAAACAGGGGTCCAATTTTGTATTCAGAGTCCTTTCCAACAATGTACATCACAATGATTTTTCAGATCGTAATTTAGACTTCTATATCAGCACATAGCAAATGAACCATTTGCATCACTTCTGGGAATCTCTTGGTTTGCACTTCGTCAATATTTGTTTGTAAACAGGATGATATCCAGTGTATGCCAGACCAAGGCATTGTAAGAATTACCTGGATGATCATTTATGTTGAAATGAAGGTTCTAGTGGAGTTAGTGGAGATGAATTAAATGTGGCCATTCTGCCAGGTTCTTCCACTGTAATCCTAGAAAGTCACACCCTTCTGTGTCTACTGAAGTTGTTCAGGATCTAGGTCACCACCATTCACAAAACAACAAATTCTTCTCGTGTTTGATCTCACCTAATCCATGATTGTGTATTAGCAGAAAATACTAACATTGTGCTTGGATCCTGCTGAGAGCTCTTTTCCCTCCAGTTTCCAGCTGCCATCTCTGAAACAACATGGGCAAACAGGAACCAGTTTAGTGGCAACCTCATGCATGAAGATCATTTTGTATATAAATTCAGTGCAGCCTAAACAGAGCTACAGCCTTCTAATTCTATTGATATTAATAGAAATGTTTAAACGGTGTTCAAGATTGCCTGTTTGTTATTTGTGCTAGCAACCCAATTTAAAACCAATATTTTCTCCAACCCCCCAATTTCCAAAGCCTAAGGAAAAACACATGTCATGGAACTGAACCGATGATGCCACTCCACACTTCCAAAAGCCACAGTAAATGCTTTCCTAATTTCCACTAGAATTCCCCCCCCCATCCAGGCCAAGGGAGTTATAGGCTCTAGCCCTAAATTTCAGGAACCATTTGTGCTACTAGAGCAATCCTGAGCAGATATAATACAATCCTTCTCCAATCTACTTAATGAGCCTTATTCCCAGGAAAGGGTGCCTAAGATTGCACTCAGTAGGTTGGATCTGACACAGAAATTCCACTTGCACTAGAGCTCTTCCACAAATGGAAATGCATGAAAAAGACTTTGGTATCCTCTTGCAGTAAGTCAAATGTATTGTTTCCCCATTTGTGTTTCTACATGCACAAGATTTTTTGCAACTAGTTTCTGGGCATTATAAATATAGGGAGGAAAGCACTAAGTGTTTCAAGATCTTGAGCAAGTAGAACTGCACTAATTCTGTTCATGTTTCCACTTGGGTATCCCTGGAGCCAGCCTTCTATAATTCAGTACAGTCTTTTGACTCTGCAAACAAAGTGTCTTGGATTTAATAAAGTCCTTTTGGAAGCCCTTCACTGCAAATCCTCTTTTCGCCCACCCTAGCTAAGGCGTTAGGTTGAAAAAGGGGGGGAATTGCAAGAAGGGTGAGCTGCTGGTTTGACTGGGCCTGAATTCTGGAGGAGACTGAGTTCAGTACAGAAAGGGTTCAAAGGAATGTGAAGCATCTGAAATGTGAAAATACAATATCAAACCTCATCCACACCACCATCACTAATAGGCATAGGATAGCCCAGATGGCCATGGCTTCTTAAGGGCCTTAGCATGCAGTACATTGTCTTCATGTGTTCTCCAGGTCCATTCCAGGTACATACACACACACGGACGCGTGTGCACAAGAGCCCTGCTGGATCACACCAGTTTTCCATCTAGCCAGTGTTCTGTCTCACACAGTGGCCAACTAGTTTTTGGCGGACCAACAACAAGGCATAGAGACTGAGGTCATCCCTGATGTTGCCTCCTGATAGTAGTACCCATAATTTTGCTGCCTCTGTTGTGGAGTTTACCTTTAGCTACTGTAGCCACTGGTAGACCTATCCTCCATGAATCAATCTAATCAACTTTTAACACCACGTATTCCTATGGCTATGACTACATCCTCTGGCAACAAATTCCATATTTTAAGCACTTGCTAAATAAAGAAGTATTTCCTTTTGTCCATCCTGAATCTACTTCTCATCAACTTTATTGTGTGCCTCCAAATTCTAGTATTTTTGGGAAACAGAGAGGATGAAAATACTAGAATTTGGGGGGAATCAATGAAGTTGATTTCTCTGATCAGACATAGGTTTCCCAGGTCTTACCTGGTTGCTGGCAGGGGAGTCCATCACCTCGTCCAGGATATCTTTGGCACCGGAAGTGATGTTGGCACAGGACATGTTGGCACAGGATATGTTGTGGGTGAGGCCTTTATAATTTGAGGGAAAAGCATAGCGTTTTCCCTTGAATGATAGAGTGTTCTCCCGCAACGTGCCCTGTTCGATGATGTCACACCAAGGATATGTCATCATGCTTGGTATGTCGGTGCAAACATGGCACTTTGGGGGTGGGGTTCCACTGCCAGCCAGACCTGAGGTGGTGGATCAGGGACCCTGAAAGCAGGCAACTCCTCACTCCAGGTGGAGGAATGTCAAGCCTAATCAGACATGTACTCTGGGTTCCATGCTCAAAACTCATGTCCCAGGGGGGTTGATTTCTATTGGGACTGTGGTGTGCAGGGACAGGGGCTAAACCTCGGCCCCACATTCCTAACCTGAAATAGATGGGGGAACTGCTATTTGTACTGTAATCATTAGGATGTGTATAATAAGGCCCTGAACATTCCTGGATGTAGTAATGAGTTATAAAGAATAATACAGTCAAGAAAGAGATTAAATTTGAGAAGAGGTCATCTGCCTCCTAGTGGTGTACACAGATGAAGCTGTGTTTGCTGTTGTTAAGATGGCTGTTGCAGTTCTTGCAGTTAGAGCCTCTAGGCCCAACTTGTATTTATGTAAATAAAATCTCTCGAATACTTTGAGAAGTTGCTGGGATCAGTTTCTTGTCATATCTGGAAGGACCTTCCCATATTCCCATTATAGAACCTGAAAAATTGGCCCAAGCACTCTCTTTCACAATGACTGGGCCTGACTCATGCAAATGCTGAGAGCAACACTACGCGATCAGACTAGGGTTGATAGCCCTTGGCTGGAGCAGTGAATTCTCATCTCCCTTCTCATTTCCCCCACTGATTGAAGCAATGGAAAGGGGGGGGGACAGCAGACAAACAAGCAATGTGACATCACTTCCTGGAGGAAACTAGAAGTGATATCAATTTTTACTATATAGTTTTTGCCCAAATACTATAGTGTCCTGTATCCCCAGTGACATACTGACATCATTTCCACTGTGCATGACATCACTGTGATGCTGGCCTCATCCTCCTCCCTGCTGCCAGTACGTCTCTCCCTAGCCAGGTGACCAGGGGCCTGGCAGACCTACACAGTGGAGCTCTGAATACTTGAGGGTACTCACATCTAATAAGAACTGTTCCCTCCCTCCAAGGTGGTAAAAACCTATGAAAATATAATGAAAAAGGACTAAGCAAATGCAAGGCATTGTAAACAATTGCTTCCCTACAGTCTAACAAAAGGAGGAGGACAGTTAAATGAGTAAAATTAATATTTGCATGAAGGCGACCTGGCGTTTATGGACTGAATCTCAGAGAGATCTCAAAAGCAGTAAGTTGTTTCCATTTTTCCCAAGCTCCTTCAAGAAATAAAGAGGGACCCCCCCCATTTTCTTGAGAAGAGAGGAGGAATCCCCCTACCTCAGACAGTCTAGTGGTTTCCCAGATTTTTGGTACATTTACCCACAAGTTCAAATTTTCTTGGTATGGTGACCCTATAATGATTCCTGGTTTCCTTTTCCCCCCATGTTGGCTGAGCAATATCTTTTCTTTTTTGTTTCACTGTCTGTCTTACCCAATTTTTAAAATGTATGTAGACATAAGATGACCCAGCCTAAGAAACTGGGGAGCCAACAACAATCCTTTGCTTGTGTATGTCTGATAATAGCACGTGAGAGGCTGATATTAATTTATTTCACTGCTTTATTTCACTACTATGGGGAAATTGTCAGGTAGGTATCAGGTTTGGAACTGGCCAGATGAACAGGAAATAGGAATGAGGTGACTCTGTATAATTATAAAACACTTCAATTGTTGTATGATAAAGTAACTGTTTCATCCTACAGGCAAGTCTATACAACTTTGGAGAGAGAGATCTTGGTCTGTTTAAAAACAGGCATAAGCTTCTTTGTATCAAAATTCCTTAAGTTTATGGAGGTAGGAAATTTCAATTTTCTTTCTTGATAGGGATCACCCCTCTTTTCTCGGAGCTATTTCCCCCAGGAAATGACTTCTGGTCCCACTTCCCTAATTCAGGAACCTCCTTGATCCTTTCACTCTCGTTAACTGACCTTCACTGTTCTAACTGCTATTCTCAACTATCACTCTTAACTATACAGTTCCATTTAAACTCCCTGTCAATCAAGTTTCTCAGATCAGGTTAAACCATTAACCACTCACTGTCCCATGTGTGTGTGTGTGTGTGTGTGTGTGTGTGTGTGTGTGTGTGTGTGTGTGTGGAATAGCATGCACAAATCAATAGCACTGAAAAATACTGTTACCCTCTTTCATAGGATTTGCAACTCCCTTTTGGGTCAGAACTCAAAGATTAGGGGGAAAAACTGTTCCTGCTATCTAAATAGTACATGTTTTTCTTGCCATTTCTGCATGGCGCTCAAAGTGACAGTGACCGAGACAGATTACAGAAGAACAGGATGATTAAAAATAGCAAGTTATTTTAAGAGCTCATACCATGATTACTTTTATATCTGACAAGTGGGAACCTGCGAGAAACTCACAGGAATGTTCCCTCACTAATTCTATGTTTTGTGTCTATGTCTCAGAAAAGGACTTGAAGCACAGTGAATGCTTGTCACATATTATATAGCTGCCCCTTCTGTTTCCCTCCTTGACTTGTAAGTGCATCTCTTGTACACTCACCTTTCTCTCTCTCCTTTGTCACCAGCTCTTTGTCTATTGTTGAATTGTAAGTGCCTTGCAGTCTGAGACCTGCCTATTTTCATTTTTACATGTATTGATATAATTGTGTACATAATTAAAAACAATAGTCTGTATGCAATACAGGAGGTCATCTTCTTCCTCTGCTACCCCATGAATCTGGTTCCCTTGACTTTATGTTCTCTGGGCCTTGAAATTCTGAAGCTGCTGGCATTTGGAAAGTGAGCTGCTCTGCCTGCACACCTCCCCCCATCCTCAGTGCCCGGCCCTGGAGCTCTGCCTGCTTGCCTCCCTTCCACTCTCAGTTTGCTCCTGGCCTAGCTTCCCTCTCCCATTGTCAGTGCATTGCTTCCTTGGCTCCCCCTTCTTGTTGGAGCTCTGCCCTCTTGCCCCCCATCATCAGTTTGCTGCCTCCCCCCCCCCGTCAGTGCAGTGCTTGCTTGGTTTTGGTTCCCCCCATCATCAGTGCTTCCCCCTCCCCTCTCAGCTTGCTCCTTACCTGCCCACTCCCCCCCCCATTCTCATTGCAGAGCAGCTGAGGAAAGAGGAAGAGGCCTCAAAGGCAGGCCGAGCAGGGGAAATCTCCATGGTGGGTACAGCTCCTCTTCTGATGACATGGTAGGCAGTCATTCCACTTTCCCACCACACCACTATTTATCCTGCCCTCACCATCACTGCACCTTTGTTGCCTGTGCTTGGGAGGTAGAGAGCTTTGATGGGCACTGCCTACAATGGCAGCACTGATAGGAAGGGGCACAATTTGAGGGCTCCGCTCCCAGCTAGGTAATGTAACAGCTGTGGCTCTTCCTGCCTGATGTTCTGCCCTCCCATCCTCCACTCACCAGCCATCTCTTGCCTGAAGTGCCTCCCCCCTCTGACCACTCCAACAGGAAGTGTTGTCTTAGGCTTGCCAAGTCCCGGGGGGCAGGGAAAACCCCACCCCAGAGGCCCATTCCCTGCCACCGGCGGATCGGGCCCCGGGGGGAACCCCACCCCCAAAGTATGCAATCTGCATGTCACCCGGAAGTGACGCGACCATGCCGGGCACGCTGGGGGCAGGGCCATGGTCATCTGAGGCAAAACTCTATGGTTTTCCTTCGGATGGTCGTGGCCCCACCCCCAGCGTGCCTGGCGCTATCCGAGTGATGTGGTTGCGGCGCACGGGCGCTCCAGGAGCAACCCGGGACTCTCCCACTGCAGCAACAGGTAGGACTTGGCAACCCTATGTTGTCTGCACAAATGCAGATAACACTCCTGTGTTTGAAGGGAATATAAACCTCCCCAACACACACACACAAACACACACGCACATATATAACGTTTTCAGATATTTCTGCAAAGCTAGGGGGTCACCCAGGTTTGCAGAAAAACTTGTTTGGGGTAAGTATGCCCCTATCTGCAGAAATAAGTATCTGCACATAGGGGACTGTTGGGAATTAGATAGGTAGATAATAGTCAGAGATGATCCCAGAGGTAGCTTAAAGTACAGGAGGGAACATGATTGCCCTCTTATCCTCCCTGCATGGTCCTGACCAGTGGTGCCCTTTTTTTTTTTCTTCCCTGGTCAGGTCTACCATTATATAGGGGTTTCCCTTAATAATGAATGGTTTTGCTTGAGAAATCAACTGGTGAATCACACATATTCCCACTTTTGGGAAGGGTGGGCTATAAATATGAATGAATGAACAAATGGTCACTCAATCAGCAGAAGATGCATTCATTCCTGTGTATAAGAAGAAATGCTTCTCCTATGATGGTCCAGGCCATCTGCAGTTTTTTTAAATTGCTTGTATTAAAAAAAGTGGACTGGATTCAAAGTACCACAAGAGGAGCTCCCTCCCTCTGAAGGCAACACAGCACCTCAAACACTTTGTGGAAACTGGTGGTAAAGTACCACAGTCAGTTCAACTTTGTGATCTGCTTGCAAGTGAAGTTCCCAGAGGAGATCGCCCCAGAACATAAAACCGGTCAATTGGGCCTGGTGAACAAACAGGACTCAGGATCAAGATAACTCCCTTCTGTATGAATGAGAAACCACCAGTGAAGCTGATGACTCTGTAACAGAGGGGGATGACTGTGTGTGAACATCAGAAGCTCCAGTAAGTACAAGGTTATTTCCTTTGAAAGTTTTAGTTAGTTTTTTAAAGGAGTATATGAAGTGAATTTCTAGAGGTTACTACTAATATCAACTATACGATTTGAATGGTCAGGATTATTATTTTTTTAGGTTTGCTGCATTTCAATGACAATAATTCAATACCAAAGTTCCACATTCGGAGGCTGCATCAGATTTAGTTTGAGAATTTTAAGCAGCCAGTATCTGTCCTAGGAATGAGGCTTCACAGCACAAGAAAAAGTGCTAGTTCCTATTGTTAGCATTCATATAGTACTTTTGGGTACATATGAAAAAAGAAACTTGGGCTCTAGACAAGCCTAAGGTCACTTGATTTACTTGAACTGAGTTTCGGGGGGGGGGGCATCAGAGATACCACCTTTTTTCTCATTGACACAGTTATCTTTACCGAAAGGGCAGAAGAAAGCATAATAGAATAGTCCACTCTTGTATTTATGTATGTATATTTGTGTGCATGGATAGATGGATGGATGGATGGATGGATGGATGGATGGATGTCCCCATTTATTGATTGATTGATTGATTGTATTTATACCCCGCCCTCCCCGCGAGCGGGCTCAGGGCGGCTCACATAAGGCAGATCTCAGCAGAGATTATATGTGTTCATAGGCTGTGTATTCCTGTTTGTCAATTGAGACCCTTTCTCATATATTATTCCATTGCTCCTATTATGCAGAAGAAATAGCCCTCTTAATTACACCTATAATAAGGTCATTCAGGCACCAAGGACAATTAGTAATCCACTCTGAGGAACTTTTGCTGAAACATCTATTGGAGGACAAATCCACTGTAATATCAAGGAATGTTGCTAAATTTCTCTTTATTGCATTTACAAAGTGTAAGCACCTCCTCAATGTTCCTTATGATGTCTCTTCTCTGTAATGCTTTTTTCTTTTGATTCTGTATGCTGTTTAATGGGTCTCTGACCGTAATAAAATGATGATGATGATGATGTGTAGTTCACAGATGGCTTCTTATTCAGGATCCTTCAGTGGCAGAATTCAGACCATTTTTGGGTCCTTACATTAGACAGAACAAAAAAGCAGTATTATGATTCAGCCAACATTTTCACTCATACTTAATTCTCCTTTCTGTACCCTCATCACACCTGGCTTTTGTCCATGCAGCTCCAAGGATGTCTAGCAAGGGTTCCTTGCTCTCTCACTAGCAAGAAAGATGGTTGGCTCTACCCCTATGTATAACCAAATGATTCCTGTCACCTTAATTCTTAGATTTATGTGTATTTCATTTTCCAGGATGTTGACAAAGAAAGAAAATATTCTACAGAATAGTACAGCCCTGGCTGAATTCATCCTTCTTGGCCTTTCTGATGAGCCCAACTTGCAAAGCATATTGTTTTCTACTTTTCTAGTGATCTATGTCATCATTCTGGCAGGAAATCTCATCATCATTCTCCTCACGTTGGTTGACCCTGCACTACAAACACCCATGTATTTTTTCCTGAGAAACCTGTCCTTCCTGGAGATCTGTTACACATCCGTCAATGTCCCCAAGATGCTTGAGAACCTTCTGTCTGGGAACAAGACTATCTCCTTCCTAGGATGTGCTGTACAGACCTATTTCACATTCTTTCTTGGTGGTTCTGAATGTTTCCTCCTGGCTTCAATGGCCTATGATCGCTATGTTGCCATTTGTAAGCCTCTGCACTACCCTGTCCTCATGAACAGGAAAGTGTGCATGGGTCTAGCTGTGGCATCCTGGTTGAGTGGGTTTTTTATGTCCTTTGGTCACACTAGTATGGTGTTTACTATGTCCTTTTGTGGTTCAAATGAGATTAATCACTTCTTTTGTGACATTCCCCCATTACTGAAATTGGCTTGTGGGGATACTTCCAGGACTGAAATGGCTGTATTTCTAGTGGCTATGATATTTATAACTTTTCCATTCCTCCTGATCTTACTGTCGTATGCTGGTATCATTGCCACGATTCTGGGAATTTCTTCTGCTGAAGGGAGGAAAAAGACCTTCTCTACCTGCTCTTCACATCTCATTGTGGTGACCTTATTCTATGGTTCTGGATGCATCGTATACTTGAAACCCAATTCAACTTATTCACCTAATACTGATAAATATCTGTCTCTTTTCTACACAGTGTTTATCCCCATATTGAATCCTATCATATACAGCTTGCGGAATAAAGAAGTTAAAGGTGCCTTTAAAAGAGTTTGGGAGAGAAAAGCTTTTGCATGATCAAAGTACATGAGCTTACAGTGTGAGATCCAAAATAGGTGAGGTGACATTTGTGTCTACTAATCACTGAGGGATAGGTATAGTTCTTTCAGTAAAGGATCTTATAATCTTATAATATTATGATCTTATTGTCGTATGCTGGTATCATTGCCACGATTCTGGGAATTTCTTCTGCTGAAGGTAGGAAAAAGACCTTCTCTACTTGCTCTTCATGTCTCATTGTGGTGACCTTATTCTATGGTTCTGCTTGTATTATGTACTTGAAGCCAAAGTCCACTCACTCACCCAATACTGACAAGTATCTGTCTCTCTTCTACACAATTGTTGGTCCTTTACTGAATCCTATCAGATACAGCTTTCAGAATAAAGAAGAAGAAGAAGAGAAGAAGAAATTGGATTTATACCCTGTCCTTCACTTGGAGTCTCAGAGCAGCTTACAAACTCCTTTCCCTTCCCCTCCCCACAACAGACACCCTGTGAGGTGGATGGGGCTGAGAGAACTCTGACACAAACTGCTCTTTTTCAAGGACAGCTGTGCCAGAGCTTGTGACTGACCCAAGGTCACATCAGCAGGTGCAAGTGGAGTAGTGGGGAATCAAACCCTGTTCTCCCAGATTAGAGTCTGCGCACTTAACCACTACACCATAAAAAAGTTAAAGCTGCCCTTATGAGAATTTGTGAGAGAAAACCTGTTAAATGTTCAAAGAACAGGATCATAGGGTATAATATCCACAGTAGGTAAGGCAACATTTGTGCCTACTTATTGCAAAAAAGATTTATTTCACCAAAGGAGATAGATCTAATAATCCTTTCTAGCCTGCGTATTTTTTTATTCTGTATTACTCAGAAACATAATGTCTACAACAGAGCAAATTGATTAGCAGGCATATGCTTATGTAAGAAGACACATTCAAAAAATGTTTCTTCCAAGCATCAAGTAGATAGTTCAAGTCTTGTATGTTCGGAATTGGTGTCCCAGGCTGTGTTTCCCAGAGAACTTTCTCAATGCCATTTTTTGATAACACTGTACCAAGGTATTACATCATGACACACTGTTATCTGAATTCTATTCCTGTTCAATTAAAAAAGAGCTAAATATACACAACCATTTCCTGAATTCAAGTGAGATCCAAGCAGCTTTTCTGGAGGTGAAAAGGGAAGTAGTCCCACTTACCCACTTTGCTGGGTTCTGCCTGGACAAGAGTAATGTGTGATGGGGAACACTGAATGAGATAAAGTGGGAAAGCTGGCTGGGACCCACCACTAGATCTCAAAGTATGGATTTTTCAATAATTTTTCAGATCATAATTTTTATTTCTATATCAGCATATACCAAACAAAACATTTTCATTCACTTCCAGGCTCTCTTGGTTTGCACTTTGTCAATACTTGTTTCTCAGCAGGACAATAGAAAGTATATGTCAGGCCAAGGCATTGTAAGATTTACATGGATGATCATTTATGTTGAAACATAGGTTCTAGTGGAGAAGAATTAAATGTGGCCATTCTGCCAGGTTCTTCCACTTTAATCCTAACAAAAGTCACACCCTTCTGAGTCCACTGAAGTTGTTCAGGATCTAGGTCACCACAGTTCAGAAAACTGCTGATTCTTCTGGTGTTTGATCTTCACCTAATCCATGATTTTGTATTAGCAGTAAATACTAACATTGTGCTTGGATCCTGCTGAGAGCCCTCTTCCCTCCAGTTTCCAGCTGCCATCTCTGAAGCAACATGGACAAACAGGAAGCAGTAAAGGCCCTCGCTAACATGCCTTTTACCAGTTTAGTGGCAACCACATGCATGAAGATCATTTTGTATATAAATTCAGTGTGCCATAAACAGAACTACACCTTTCTAATCCTATTGACTTCAATAGAAATGTGTAAACTATTATGACAAACCCCCTTATTTCGGATTGTGTGGGGATTTGTTCCTTTAAACTTTCACATGTTGGAGGAGTCTTAGGCTGTGATCACACACAGTAAATAATCCACTTTCAATGCATTTTCCAGGTTCTTCTGTGTGAACTGGCATAATCCCATTCAAAAGTGCATTGAAAGGAGATTGAAAGAAAATTATTTAGTGAGTTTGATTGCAGCCTTATTTTCCACTAACACTGTCTGCCCACCTCTTTCAGGGTTGGTACCTACACAGTTTGTCTCTCTATCACACACCCAGTCACTTATTGATGAGACTTTTTAATTAATATTAATCTCTGTGGCTTTTCATGAGCACCACCTTTTTTCTGAGATGAAGTTTACACTTAGCTCTGTTAGACACTGAGGCACCCACGACGTGGAACAATAAAACCAGCTGATTATTTTATTTACAAGGACGGGTAGGCAGGGAATATATATATATATATGTGTGTGTGTGTGTATATATATATATATATATATATATACACACACACACACACACAACGGAAAAGCTGATGCTTGTGTATACGTTGTTTCAAATGGTATAGTTCAGCTTTAGGTCAGTTAATTTATAACCATTCACTTCAGATGCCACTCTAATATCAACCCTTGTGTTGTTCTAGACTGCCAGTTTTGGTTTGGATTTCTCAGGTAAACTCCGCCTCCATAGAGAAATACTTCCACTGTGCCTTGGGTTTTTTCCTCTTTTCTTTTCTTTCTTTATTTGTTTGTTTGTTTCACTTTTACCCCGCCCTCCCCGCAAGGCAGACTCAGGGCGGCTTCCAAGAACTGGCAAGCAGTATACATTCATAATAGTTTATAAAACATCAATTAAAACACAGCAATCAATATAAAACATTCATTAAAACATTCATTAGATGGTGATAGAAGTAAGGTGCAATTTAAGGACACATTCGGCAGTACCACCGCATTAGATCGTATAGGATCGGAGTTCACTACAGGGCGCAGCTGGTAAAACGTTGCTCCTATCGGAACACCTGCCTGAAAAGTTCTGTTTTCACGGCCCTGCAGAACTGTGACAAGTCCCGCAGGGCCCTGATCTCGGCAGGGAGCTCATTCCAGTAGGACGGAGCTACAATCGAAAAAGCCCTCATCCTGGTTACCATCAACCTGGCTTCCTTAAGGCCAGGGAGGTCCAGGTGGTTTTGGGATCCTGATCTCAGTGCTCTCTGGGGAACATACGGGGAAAGGCGGCCCCTCAGGTAGGCCGGTCCCTGACCATAAAGGGCTTTAAAGGTCAAAACCAGCACCTTGAAGTGAATCTGGAATGCTATTGGCAGCCAGTGCAGAGTCTTGAGCACAGGCTGGATGTGCTCCCACCTGGGGAGGCCCATCAGCAGCCTGGCCACCGCATTCTTCACCAGCTGCAGCTTCCGGAGTTGCACCAAGGACAGCCCCATGTAGAGAGCATTGCAGTAGTCCAACCTCGAGGTGACCATAGCGTGGATCACTGTAGCCAGATCATTGCGTTCGAGGAAGGAAACCAACTGCCTAATCAGCCGAAGATGGTAAAAGGCTGCCTTGGCAGCGACTGCCACCTGGGCCTCCATTGTTAAGGAGGCATCCAGGAGCACTCCCGAACTCCTGGCCCTCGAAGCTGGCACCAATGGCACCCCACTGAAGGCCGGGAGTGGGATCCCTACCCCCGTACCACTCCGATTCAGGCACAGGACCTCCGTCTTCATTGGATTCAATTTCAATCGGCTCAGTCTAAGCCATCCAGCCATGTCCTGCAACGCCTGGTCCAGATCTTCTGGGGTAGAGTCAGACTGACCGCCCAACATCAGATAGAGCTGGGTGTCATCCGCATATTGGTGACAACCCAGCCCATGCCTCCGGGCAATCTGGGCAAGGGGGCGCATATAGATGTTAAATAGCATCGGGGAGAGCACGGCCCCTTGGGGCACACCACACACTAGTGGGTGCCTTCGGGACTGCTGCCCCCCAATAGCCAAACTTTGTCCCCGACCTTGGAGAAAGGAGACAAGCCATTGCAAGGCGAGCCCCTGAATTCCCATGTCGGCGAGGCGGTGGGCAAGCAGCTGGTGATCGACCATGTTGAACGCCACCGACAGGTCTAGCAACAGCAGCACTGCTGTCCTGCCCCAATCCAGATGCCTCCGGAGGTCATCCGTGAGAGCGACCAGTGCTGTCTCCGTCCCATGGCCAGGGCGAAAACTGGACTGGAAAGGATCTAGCATGGAAGCGTCATCCAGAAAGCTCTGCAACTGCACCGCCCTCTCAATTAACTTGCCCAAATAAGGCAAGTTGGATACCGGCCGATAGTTGGCCAATTCAGCCAGATCCAGTGATGGCTTTTTAAGGAGGGGGCGGACCATTGCTTCCTTGAGAGCCCCCGGGAACAGTCCCTCAGAGAGGGACTTGTTGATAATATCCCTGAGGGCACCTCGCAACCCCTCATGGTCAGCTTTAATTAGCCAGGAGGGGCACGGATCAAGGCTGTAAGTGGTTGGGCGTACAGTAGAGATCAGTCTGTCAACTTCCTCTAGGCTGAGTGGACTGAAATAATCCAGAATGGAACGAGAAGATGTGCATGGAGCCTCGAGTTCACTCACTGTCTCAACTGTGGTGGGGAGGTCACGGTGGAGCACCAAGACTTTATCTGCAAAATAGCTCGCAAAAGCCTCACAGCCGATATCCAATTCCCTAGTGTTTTGTCTGCCCTGTGGCAGAGCTGTAAAAGACCGAATTGTTCTAAATAATTGTGCTGGACGTGAGCTAGCAGACACAATCGAAGCTGCGTAGAACTCCCTCTTCGCAGCCTTAACTGCCACCTCATAGGATTTCATAAATGTCCTATAAGATGCTCTTGTTGCTTCGTCGCAAGTGCGCTGCCACTGTCTCTTTAGCCGTCTAAGCCTTTGCTTCATCAGCCTCAGCTCCTGGGTGTACCAGGGAGCCAGCCTTGTGCGCAGGCGCAGAGGGCGTCTGGGAGCGATCTCATTGATGGCTGTCGAGATTCGGTTATGCCAGTCCTCGACTAGCTCATCTAGTGAGCTGCCATGGGGCATAGGATCCTGCAGAGCCATCTGAAGCCGCACTGGGTCCATTTGGCTCTGCAGGCGAGCTAAAATAAACTCGCTGCCCACACAGGGTTGGGGTGACACATTCACTCAGGCCCTCAGGGCATGGTGGTCCGACCATGGAACTGCCGTAGCAGTGATCCGGTCCACTGTAACCCCCGCTGCGAAGATCAAATCAAGCATGTGACCGGCTTGGTGAGTGGGGGCCGTTATATATTGGGAGAGTCCCAGTGCTGCCATGGATGACATCAGGTCTGACACCCGTGAGGAAGCCGCATCTTTGGCATGGACATTGAAGTCACCCAAGACTATCAGTCTAGGGTGCTCCAACGCCCAGCCTGACACGGCCTCCACCAGGGACGGCAGACTATCAGGCAGTGCGTTGGGTGGACGGTACACCAACCAGACAGCCAAACTCTCCCTGGTTTCCCACACAACGCCGGCACACTCAATGCCTGTGAGCCTCGGCACCGGGAGCGCCCTGAAGGAGTAAGCCTCCCGAATGAGCAAAGCCACTCCTCCCCCCTGCCTCATTGTCCGGGATTAGTGAAGGACCGAGAACCCAGGCGGAGCTAGCTGGGAGAGTGCTACTGTCTCCCCGTCTCGCACCCAGGTCTTGGTCACGCATGCCAGGTCCACATCCTGTTCAAGCAGAAAGTCCCGAAGGACTGTGGTCTTATTATTTATGGACCTGGCGTTGCACAGCACCAATGTTGGAGTGGGGTTTCTGGTCCTTGCCCCACTGCCTGCCTCCGTTGGGATGGGACACAGGCTGGAAGGTGGCCGAGCTTCTCTATTTCTCAGCCCCCTTCCCTTCCATTTCTGCTTTCCTTTCCTTTCCTTTCCTTTCCTTTCCTTTCCTTTCCTTTCCTTTCCTTTCCTTTCCTTTCCTTTCCTTTCCTTTCCTTTCCTTTCCTTTCCTTTCCTTTCCTTTCCTTTCCTTTCCTTTCCTTTCCTTTCCTTTCCTTTCCTTTCCTTTCCTTTCCTTTCCTTTCCTTTCCTTTCCTTTCCTTTCCTTTCCTTTCCTTTCCTTTCCTTCCCTTCCCTTCCCTTCCCTTCCCTTCCCTTTCCTTCCCTTCCCTTCCCTTCCCTTCCTTTTCTTTTTTCTTTTGGACACCCACTAGCAATGTTCCCTCTAAGCTGTGGAGTCTTGTAAGCAAAAATTCTACTTTGTGAGTTACTGGCATTAAAGCTGTGAGCGAGCGATTTGGCTCCTGCATAAATTAGTTTGCTCTGGAACCATCCTTCCTGAGCTAAGACAAAAATCTGTGAGCTGGAGGCTAAAAAACTGTGAGCTTGCTCACACTAACTCAGCTTAGAGGGAACACTGCCCACTAGTCCCATAAACCCTTCTGGCACACACTAAATCCACTAAACCCAAATCTCTCCCCAGCAGAGTATAGATTCTATGTGAGCATAACATGAATCTCTTGTTTAACCACCCGGAGCTTATTTTCCTTTTTAAGACTCCTTAGTTTTCACTGTGGTGTAGAACCACATTTGGCTTTTTCAGATTCCCTTAATACTGGAATCTGTACAGAAATCTCATTTACTCCTTGGACTCAGCGAGATCCAACATGACTTCTCAGTCCCCTGGCACACTACCCACCGACCAAAAAAAAACCCCTGACAGTCTCAACGGCCAAACTCCAACTGTCAAGAATCTCTCCCATGAGTTGTGAATCAGAATTACATCACCACTGCTAGTCATGTGACTGCAGGTGTCTTTCCATGCACACTGATCCCAACCCCGGAGTCCATCACAACTGTGTTCAGGATTGCCTGTTTGTTATTTGGGCTAGCAACCCAATTTAAAACCAATATTTTCTCCTACCCCAAGAACAATTCCCAAAGCCTAAGCACCACCACATGTCATGGAACTGAACCGGTGATGCCATTCCACTCTTCCAAAAGCCACTATAAATGATTTCCTAATTTCCACTAGAACTTTTTCCCCCCTTTTACTGAAAGGGAGTTATAGGCTCTAACTCTAAATGTCAGGAACCATTTGTGGTAGTAGAGCAATCCTGAGCAGATATAATACAATCCTTCTCCAATCTACTTAATGAGCCTTATTCCCAGGAAAGGGTGCCTAAGATTGCACTCAGTAGGTTGGATCTGACACAGAAATTCCACTTGCACTAGAGCTCTTCCACAAATGGAAATGCATGAAAAAGACTTTGGTATCCACTTACAGTAAGTCAACTTTATCATTTCCCCATTTGTGTTTCTACATGCACAAGATTTTTTGCAACTTGTTTCTGGGCATTATAAAATATAGGGGGGAAGCACTATGTACTGCAAGATCTCGAGCAAGTAGAACTGCACTAATTCTGCTTCCAGTTGGATATCCCTGGTGCCAACCTTCTATAATTCAGTACAGCCTTTTGACTCTGCAAACAAGTGTCTTGAATTAATAAAGTCCTTTTGGAAGCCCTTTGGTGCAAATCCAGTTTTCCACACCTCACCTAAAGTAAGTTAGGTTGATAAAGAAGAAAAAATGGCATGAAGGGTGAGTTGTAGCACAATGAGGCTGGTTTGACTGGACCTGAATTCTAGAGGAGGCTGAGTTCAGTACAGAAAGGGTTCAAAGGAATGTGAGGCATCTGAAATGTGAAAATATAATATTCAACCTCATCCCACCACCATCACTCATAGGCATAGGGTAGCCCAGATGGCCATAGCTTCTTAAGGGCCTCAGTGTGCAGTACATTGTCCTCATGTCTTATCCAGGTCCACCCCAGGTACATATCTATCTATCTATCTATCTATCTATCTATCTATCTATCTATCTATCTATCTATCTATCTATCTATCAATCATCTATCTATCTATCTATCATCTATTTACATACATAAATAAAAGAAAGTCCTTTCACTGTAAAATCAACAACCAGGCCAAACCGCTGAACCTAGAAACACCAAATTCAGACACTCCTACCATGGTGTAGATGCTCACTAAGAAGGGATTTTTAGAAATTCAACCGCTAAGGGGGTCAAAAGGGGTAAAATGTCCTCCCCCCATTGATTCCTATGTGACTGCCAGGCTGCTGCCTCCATGCACCCCCCCCCCCGACTCTGATTGGTCAGCTGCAGAGCTCAGAGTTCTGAGGATTAAAAAGTACAGGAGACTGCAGACAGCTAATGACAGTTGAGGAAACCAGGAGTGGCCAACCACCTGTGAGGTGAAACAAAGCTGCTGACCCAGCCTCCCTATGGCTTCAGACATGCTCCCCCCTCCTACACCTGACAGGCAGTTGTCTGTCAGGTGCAGCAGCAGTTGCAGGATGCTTAAAGCCATCAGGAAGCCTGCCCCAGCAGTAATGCCTTAGTATTCCCAGCAGTAATGCCTTGTGTTTCCTGCCAGCCCTGCCTCCACAGTGGCTTCAAATACTCCTCCCCCCCCCCACACTGGACAGGCAGCTGCCTGTCAGGTGTAGGACAGGAGGTGGCATGCTTACAGCCACTGGGAAGGTTTGCTCACCAATATTGACTTAGCCCTGCTGCTGGCCCAGCCTCCCTGATGCCTTTAGACATAATCCCCCCAACACCAGACAGTCTTTCAGGTGTAGGAGCAGGACCAGGGTACATTAATCCATCTGGGACTCCGCTCCAGCATGATCACCTTAGTGATGCTGCTGGCTCAGTTTCTCTGATGGCTTCCAAAACACTCACCCCGCCTCCTACAACTAACAGGCGGTTGTCGGTCAGGTGCAGCAGCAGTTGTAGGGTGCTTAAAGCCACAAGGGAGCGTGCCCCAGCAGTGACACCTTAGTGATCCTGCCAGCCCCGCCTCCACAGTGGCTTCTAATACTCCTCTCCCCTCCCCCTCCTACACTAGATAGGCAGCTTTGTTTATTAATTGGAAAATGTGTTGTGTATTTGGAACACTTACTAAATAAAAAATTAAACAATCCAAGCACTCTCATTCATCCAGACCTGGCCAGACTCATGAAGAGATTGAAAGACAGACTCATGCAGAATTGCTTGGAGGACACTGCGGTGAACATGGATTTATAAGAAGAGTGTAGAAAGGGCCATTGACCATTTGTCACAATAAAGTAGCTGTTTGGTTTTACAGACAAGTTTTTAAAACTGTTGAGAGAGATCTCTTGGCAGTTTGCTTTAAAACAGCCATACCCTTCTTTGTATCAAAATTACTTACATTTATGAAGGCAGGAAAACATTTCAATTTTCCTTCTTGATGGGTTCACCCCTCTTTCTAGGAGCTATTTCCCTAAGGAAATGACAACTGGTCCCACTTCCCTAATTCAGGACCCTGCTCAATCCTCTTACTCTCCTTAGCTGTCCTTCACTGCTCCAATTCCTGTTCTCAACAGTCACTCTTAACTATAGAATTTCATTTGAACTCCCTGTCAATCACAGTTCTCAGATCGAGTTAAACCATTTACCGTTCACTGTCCTCTGTACAGACCCATGGTGGTGGTGGGGAGAGCACACAGAAATGAGTGACACTGAAGAATGCTGCTACCCCCTTCCATAGGATTTGCAACTCCCTTTTGGGTCAGAACCCACAGGTTGGGGAAAAACTGTTCTTGCTATCTAAATAGTACATGTTTTTCTTGCCTTTCCTCCAAGGAGGTCAAAGTGACAGTGACCCTGACAGATCACAGAAGAACAGGACGATTAAAAAAAAAGCAAGTTATTTTAAGAGCTCATATTATGATTACTGTTATATCTGACAAGTGGGAACCTGTGAGAAACTCAGAGGAATGTTCCCTCACTAATTCTGTGTTTGAGTCTATGTCCTAGAAAAGGACTTGAAGCACAGTGAATGCTTGTCACATATTATATAGCTGCCCCTTCTGTTTCCTTCCTTGGCTTGTAAGTGCATCTCTTGTACACTCACCTTTGTCTTTCTCCTTGGTCACCAGCTCTTTGCCTCCTTGTCTATTGTTGAATTGTAAGTGCCTTGCAGTCTGAGACCTGCCTATTTTCATTTTTACATGTATTAATATCTGTAAGGTATCCAGTCCAGACAAGTTCAGACAAACGTTGAGCTTTGCCCCAAGAGACAATGGACTATGCGGATCCTAGCCCGCTCCAATCAGGGGGCTAGGTTCCTGGCCGAGAGCCAATGGGACTCTCGGCCACTGTAAATAACCTATTGGGAAGTGGGGGGGGTGTTTTGGGTGGCGGTTTCTTGGGGAATATAAGCCGGCCTGCGAGCCGGCCAAAGTCGTCTTGTTCCTGATCGAATAAAGTACGCTTTGCTGAAATCATTCTCCGTCTGCGTACTTTTCACTGGCGACGAAGATGGGATCCATCTCCCTCTGAACAGAGACCACGTTCTGGACATCACCGTGAGCCACCACACTGAATTTGCCACCACCGCTAGCATCGAGCATCTTCAAGAAGCGCCGCTCACCGCACCGCTCCCAAGCTCCGAACACTGCACCGCACCGCACCACCATCTATGCCACTCGCTTCCACGTGGAAACAGTAGGATGGCTGCCACATCAGAGAGCCTCCCAGCTTTTGATATCTGCCAACCCTCGCAGTGGGAAACCCGGCTGGAAACTCTCGAGAGCCACTTCACCATCCACAAGGTGGTGGATCCAGATATAAAAAAGGCGTACCTGCTGCGCCACCGCGGGATGGAGACCCATTTCCTGCTTAAGGACTTAATAGCACCCAAGCTGACCAAAGACAAGTCGTACAGCTCCTTGGTCAAGGCGCTGACCGACCATCTGGCTCCCAAACCAACGAAGTTCATCGAGTGCCTGGACTTTTTTGGGAAGGTTCAGGGCCCCGACGAGACCACCTCAGATTTCCTGGCGGCTCTGCGGCGGAGTGCGACCAGGTGCTCCTTCTCCAACCTAGCCGAAACTCTCCTCAACCAGTTCCTCGTGGGACTCTGAGAGCCGAAGCTTCAGAGGAAGCTGGTGAGCCAGGATGACCTGGACCTGGAGAAGGCAATCTGGGAGGCCACGGCATATGAAAAGGCACACCAAGACCGCCGCGCCAAGGCGGTCCACCTCACACAAGCGACAGCCAACCCCGATGTCTCGGATGAGGACGAAGTGCACCAGGTCCGTCGTTGGTCATCTCAGCCGTCCACCAATGTGAGCAAGGCCTCTTTAACTGCCTCTGCCCCGTGCGCCAGCTGTGGTGAGGGCCACAAGCACCGACCATGCTGCTTCTGAAATGCAGTCTGCTGGACCTGCAACAAATCAGGGCACATCTCCTGGGTTTGCCGCTCCAAAGGACAACGCCAGAAGTCATCCATGCACCAGACTACGCTGGAGCCACCCAGCGACCTCAACTCCATATCGGCCCATTTCCTGCAACACCAGGTATGTAACTTGCCCCCTGATGGCCCCAACAAGATGCATGTCACGGTCCTTATAGAGGGATCCCTCTGCAGCATGGAGACCGACGCAGGGTTGACCAACTCCATTATCTCCGTGGATATGCTCCGCACGCTGTGTCCAAAGGGGGCCCCACCCCTGCAGAAGTCGTGGGATTTCCGGTTAAGGGACTTCAATAAGAATCCCGTGGCGGTGCTGGGCTGGGGCAAGTTCCGGGTACAGTTCCAAGACTTTAATGCCACCCTAGACCTGCTGGTGGTGGATAGGCCTCTCTCCAGCCTGCTAGGACTCTCGTGGTTTGAGGCCCTGAAAATCTCTCTGAATGGAATCCATCAGGTCAGGTTACGGGACTTTGGGGCGGTGTGCGCAGAATTTCCCTGCGTTTTTGACGGCACACTGGGAAGTTTCTCTGGGCCCCCCATCTCTCTGGATCGAGACCCAACGGTGCGGCCCATTCGCATCAAGGCCTGGATGCCGCCCCTAGCAATGAAGCCGAAAATCGAGGCCGAGTTAGATCGCTTAGTGGAACAATGGGTCCTGGACCCAGTCGCTTCAGCACGTTGGGAGACCCCCATATTCACCCCAGTGAAGCCCAATCGGGACGTGCGCATTTGTGCAGACTATAAATGCATGCTAAACAAGGCTCTGCAGGCACACACTTATTCGGTGCCGGTGGTGCGGCACATGTTGGCGGCTTTGGCGGGGGGCAAGGTTTTTGGCAAGTTGGACTTGGCACAGGCGTATCAACAACTGCCAGTTGATGCCGCCACGGCCAAAGCCCAAACGATCACAACACACAGGGGGGTCTTCAATGTTCACCGCCTCCAGTTCGAAGTCTCAATGGCTCCGGGGAATTTTCAATCTTTTATGGATTCTCTCCTGAAAGGCATCCCCAGGGTTCAGCCATTTCTAGACGACGTGCTGATTGTCGTGCCGGATGACTCGTCCTTCACAGACCGTTTGCGGGCCATTCTACAACGTTTTGACACAGCGGGGCTCAAAGTCAAGTGGGAGAAATGTCTCTTGGGGGTGCCATGCATCGAGTTCCTGGGCTTCGCGGTCGACGCTGCGGGCATCCATCCCACCACGGACAAGGTGACTGCCATCACGCAAGCACCACCTCCAGCATCAAAGTCCAAACTACAGGCCTTTTGGGGGCTCCTGAACTTCTACCACTCCTTTTTGCCCCTCAAAGCTGCAGTCGCAGAACCGCTCCATTGCCTCCTGGACAAGTCGGCACCTTGGGTCTTGGGTCCGCCACAAGCAGCTGCGTTCCAGGCGGGCAAAGAACTGCTCGTCTCGAAAGCAGTCCTGGCACATTTCAATGAGGCGCTCCCGGTGGGGCTGGCCTGTGATGCTTCCCCCATGGGGTGGGAGCGGTACTGGGCCACAGGTTGTCGGACGGTCATGAGGTCCCGGTTGCATACTATTCCAGGACTCTGTCAGCAGCTGAGCGCAATTACGTGCAGATAGATAAGGAGGCGCTGGCGATTGTGGCGGGGGTGAAAAGTTTCACCACTATCTGTACGGGCGGCCCTTCACGGTCCTCACGGACCACAAGCCACTGCTGGGCCTCCTGGCCCCCGACCGCCAGACGCCCCAGATGATTTTGCCCCGGGTGCTCCGCTGGTCTATTTTCCTGGCGGGGTACTCCTACGCTCTAGTCCATCGCCCCGGCAAGGCAATGGGCCACACAGACACTCTGAGCCACCTGCCGCTGCCGGTCAGTGACCCAGATTCAGCTCACACCCACCAGATCACTCTCCTGGAGACCCTTCCATGGCCAGTCCATGTCGCGGAGGTGGCTTGCGGCACCTCCAAGGATAAGGTACTTTGATGGGTCTTGGACTGGATGGTGAGGGGATGGCCCGTGGCCAAAGGAGACCCTGACATAACACCCTTTGCTTCCCGGAAGGACGAGTTGTCCGTCCACCATGGCGGTGTCATGTGGGGTAGTAGGGTGGTCATCCCAAAACCCCTATGAGAGCGGGTCCTCAACGCCCTTCACAAAACACACCCCGGGGTGGTGCGCATGAAAGCCTTGGCCCGGAGCTACGTCTGGTGGCTGGGGTTGGATCGGGACAAAGAGGACGTGGTGAAGCGGTGCAACCCCTGCCAAGCATCCTGGCCTGAGCCTCCCTGAGCCCCAGAATGGGCCTAGGAATCTTCCCACCACCCCTGGTCCCGGTTACACTTGGATTTTGTGGGACCATTCCAGGGGCAACTCTTCTTTATCCTGGTAGATTTCTTCAGCAAGTCACTGGAGGTAGTTCCTGTGCCTGCCACCTCCTCGAAGGCGGCCATCTGGGTGATGTGGCAGATCTTCAGTGCCCAGGGAATTCCCAACACTCTGGTCACGGACAACGGGATAGCATTCATGTCAGCGGAGTTACAGGAATTCACAAGCTACTATGGGATCTGCCATGTCTGGGCTGCCCCTTCCACCCTGCCACCAACGGCCCGGCCGAGCACATGGTCAGAACTACAAAATATGCTCTCCACCGCTTGGACTCCCCGGACTTGGATTATAAACTGGCGGCTTTCCTTTTCAGCCAGTGCACGATGCCCCACACCACTACTGGGCGCATTCCAGCAGAGCTACTTCTGGGCCACCACCTGGCAACCTGGTTGGATCATCTGCACTCCGAACGGGCATCAACAGAGGCACCGGGCATGGAGACACATGAG